CCCTCGACTGCCTCGATTACCACCTCCAGAATCCTGTTCCGGACGCAGATCTCGTGTTCTCTCTCTATCCCAAGAATCCCTGTGTCTAAGTAACCTCTCCTTCGGGATCGGTCAACAAGGTCGTGCCTGTCCGGATCCACAGTACGCCCGTGACAGGACCTCTAACCTTGAGACAGATGACAATCCCAAACCTAGCCAATGTTTCCTGATCAACACTTCTCAAGAGTCCCTAAGCGTCTCTCTCCGTCCTCCTTGCTAGTTCTCCTAGCCCAGTCTGAATCGGTTAACCCGCTAAAGGTCCTCCTACTGTCGCCCAATATTGCCTATCGACCTTTCTAGCTTCCTCTATCCTTCCAAGAGCTTCCAATTTCTATTTCCAACTACCTTATCTCCTCAACGGTTACGAGGTCATCTGTCTAACAGCTGAGGTAAGTTAGTGCTATAACGACTTGTAACCTCATCGCCGACCGCTCCAATACGTCATAAAATGTCTCAAAGTCCTCATTATCTCCTCCTTCGTCTATCACCTCTAAAGTCTYCATCGTTTCCTTCCAGTACCGRYTGTGAGCGGCTAACACCCTGAGTATTGCACCATCTGTTACTACTCTCCCTAACTCTCCARCTTTCCTGGCTTCGCTTATCTTCAACCTCTCAGCCTCTCTGGCCGTCTCATACCATGCCCTTATCCGAGACCGGCCTTCGAAGGGTGTTACTCGGAGTACGTACTTTATCCTACGTCCTCCTTCTATTCCAATCCAAAGTCCCGTCCCCCTTGCCTCACGCAGGGCACGGCGGAAACACTCTGTCTCCTCAACTATGCACAGTCTGGTATGGAGCTGGAGTTCTATGATCACTAACACTAATGGTCCATCCAGTCTCCCTACCACATGTAATGAGTACCAATCCGTCGTGTGTAGTGCAGTCCCGCTCATGTCCCGTCGCTACTCCCCTGCGTAACTTTATCTTCCGTTGTCTCGCTTTCTGCAGATCGCTTACTAGTTCGTCCTCGTGATACGCTTCTAGCCTTTATGCTCTCAAGAAAGTCTGATCTCCACGCCTGGATAATCTCTCTTTCTTCCCTAAACAGATTGTCTAACTCTCTTGTCACGAGTTCAGCAATTCGCAACTTACCCTCGTCTTGACACGACCAGATCTCTCTCAACTTGTCCCCCAACTTCYTTACCTGGTTCAAGAGTGGTTCTTTAACGCGCTTTCTCACTCTTCCGACTGCCTCACTCTCCCTTTCCATACTCAGTCCACAACTTTCTCCCGCTCATCCTCTCACCCTCGCTCTAGCCTCCTCTACCGTCTCATCGTGGTAGTGCTCCGTGCGCATATAACCACGAGACCATATCATCACATCATAAGAGATCGAGGTCTGGAAGGTCACTCGCGCCAGTACATCAGCTCTACGCTCGTGGATCAAATCCCTAGCTCGTTGTCTGCACTCACTCGCCGTCAAGTCCTCGTCTAAGTACGCTCGGAGAAGTACTGTCACAAAGTATCCCGTGCTCACCAATTGCTCTTCTACACGCATCGCCGTGGCCGTCCGTCCCGGCATCCCCTAAGCCGCGACCTCGAAGAGAAATCTCGCGTCCTCTAGCCCCTCGTAAGCGATCTCTGCCCGTCTTCTGCAGTACCTAATCAGATCGATAGGTCTCAAACAGTCCACCCAGCTCGTAACATTTATGATGTCGTCAAGTGTCTCTCTACTGGGCGGCCCCCACCTCACACAAATGGCGTAGTATACTTCCTTGAAGCGGGGCGCTAAGCCCTCCCAGAGCGCGTAAAGTGTGTGATCCACTGCTCTCCTCAAACGATCCACGCTGCCATAGGTCTGCCCTATCACGAAGGTAGGAACCCCGAACCGCCAATCCTTTCTCGGGTAGAGGGTCGGATGTGGTGGACCGTATACCAAGCAGCTCCTACTCGTCCTCCCTCCAGCGAGTCCCGCCAATTGCTGATTAACGATCACTCTGGCCAACAACTCGCTCCTCCACCAACTCCTGCTCGCCCCTGCGAGCGTTAGCCCTCTCTCTAAATCGTGTGTTCTATCCGCTATTAGATGTCCGACCCCTTCTAGATCATGAGTCCTCTCGGGTCGTTCGTCTCGTAGTATTATTGTCCAAAGGAAGAACCCCTCAGCGAGCCACGTTCCCAAGTATCGTATCCGTACACGCCCTGCCTCTTCTATCGCCACAGGAAGTGGTATGTCGTATCCAATCGCCGTCTCTCTGGGTCCCACAAGCTTCCTCACACTACACGATTCGGACTCTCTTGAGAAAACATAAGCTAACCAGGCCGCTGAATCACTCCTCATTTTTTCTCCTACTCTCGGTCAGCATCTCTCTACTCCCTCCGATACACCCCATCTCTCGACGTTGCTGACCCTTCTGACAACTCTCGTACTTAGGTCCAGTATGGTCGAATAGGTTCAGTACCTAGGCTCACTCAACCGTCGCCGTGGTGCGCTCCTTTACCTCCTACGCCCGAACCGCTACTCCTATCCTCGAAAAATGGGCGTCTATAACGTCAATCTCCTCCTCGTCAACCTCACTATCTGGATCGACCCAGTCTGGCTCCCACAGCTCCTCGTTGTCTTCTCGCTCCCAACCCTCGTCGTCAAACTCGTCCTCGACGCGGTATGGCGCCTGTCCTATAGCCTGGTAGTATTCCGTCAACTGATGGCCGTATATCAGAGGTCGCCCGGCGTCCTCATTCCACCAGCTCCCCCAGTCGTCTGAGAAGAGCCGCCCTATGCAAGTCACGTACTCGGGGCATGCTCGGAGCTCACGGTCTAGCCAATCCCAAACGCACGAAGGCTGGGGCCACTCGTCGTCTATTGAGCGGATCAGCTCTATAAGCTGAACCCTCTCGTCTCCCCAACRAGGCCCACCGGTCGCAAGCGAATAATAGATATAGTCCAGGTCGGCAGGTCTTCTCGCCAGGATCTTGAGATCCTGATAAGCCAGGTATGTCTCGACCACTCCACCAATACCTCCGAAGACGCTGTCCACTACGAACGTCGGAACTATCGCCCGCAGGCTCCTAACGCTGTACGGGAAAAACTCGTCCCGTGCTATTACGAGCTCGCCCGTGATATCAAGAGGAGGGCGTCTGTGAAATAAGGTCAACGGGTCGCTCGCGTCCTCCGCTCGGAAAGCAGCCACCTCTTCCCCTAGGTAGCGTAGCGCCCTGCTAACCACATCACTACTCCCTGTCGTCGCGAGGCCCACCACGACCTCTTTGGCCGCACCCGGTCCCAAATACAAGTAGGCTCTCACTACGCCCACTCCTTGCCCCGGCCGGTGCTCTCTATACGTCCAAAGCCACACGTCCTCGGACAGGATTATGGACCTCCACGCAAACTGGTCGTCAGCGTGTCGAATGCTGCGTCCGGGGATCGTGAGCTCGACGGATAGAGGGGGGTCTAAGTCCCAGTCGATGGTAGCCCCATAGACCTCTACTTGCACCCGCGGCCACATTCAACTGGCAGCTAGAGAGAGCGCAGCAAGCGGAAGGTGTAGATTAATGACTGAAATTTCGCGTCGCTTCCCTCACGCCTTCAAGATCAAGCTAGTAGGTTCACGTGAAACCAGGTTACCGCAACGTCTCTTTCCCTTCTCCTTCTAGGGAATTCTCTTGTATGTTTTTTTTATTATTATAAATTAAAGAAAATGTATTTAGTTAAGTTAAAATTTATTTCTTAGTTCATATATATATTAAGGATGAATACTTAAATAAGCCCACCGAGTTTGATGCTTTTTAGGGGTAGAAATAAAATTTCGGGATTTTCACTAAAATTTCGGGAGCGTTTCGCCTCCCCCCGTTGGGATGGGGTTCGGGACTATTGTCCCTAGACAAATGCTACCTACCCAAAACTAAAGCCAAATGAAATAAGAGGAAGGTCGCTGAAAGAAACAAATTTCTAACGTCTTTTTATTTAATTTCTCTAATTGCTTTCAATATATGTATATATATATCGTCAAATAGATATATATATATATAAAAGGATTAATAATTTAAATTAGAAAATTTTTCCGGAGTTCCGGCTGCATTCTGGCTCCCCCCCGTTGAGGTAGGGTTTGGCCGAAGACCTCAAAATGATGTTCAACAAGAAAGATTAAGTATCTCAATTTTTAGCTAATTTTTAAGTATTTTCTTTAATTATTTAAGATTGAATTAAATAAAATTCAGCAAATTGCCGAGTAATTTCGGCAGCACTTGGCTCCCCCCCGTTGGGATGGGGTTCAGCAAAGTACCCCCCGAATCACAAAGTCAAAATAAAGTCAACTCCCCTTTCTTGTAAAATTTTAGATAATTACTTTGATTYTAAATTGATTTTAAATGATAAATTAGTACTTAAAACAAATTTACAACTTAAATTATTTAATAAAACAAAATTCCCAATATTGATTAATTTCAATTTGGTGAACTACATTTATACAAATTTTCTCATCACCGGACGAATAGAAAGACTTGTATCCGCCCGGCTACGCACCGCCCTTCCCTAACTTAGGGTTAGGGTTTTACCCTAATTAGGGTTTCCCCCAATTAGGGTTTTAGGGTTTTGCGCGTCACGGCACGCCACCACGTACAACTTCTCGAGGCATATAATTTTCCGTCGGTTTGTAGTCAATTAAAGGCCGGGTTCCCTCGGATCACTTTTGCCGCAGACTTCTGTTTCCGTTTTATTTTCATAAAATTACAAGGAAAATCACTATTTCCTTTTAATTTTCCCCTCTTTTCCTGTCTGTTGGCGGTCTCTACTCGTCCATACGGAGTCCGTTTTCCCCGACTAAGGTCTCAAAATGTCGGGAAAAATACAAGGACCAACTTTGGTCCGGGCGGGGTTTATCTAATTTCGCTCCGTTTCTTCGTAATTAGAATAAAAGGAAATTCATGATTTTCGGAATTTTAATTAGAAAAATACAAAAAATTCCATATCTCTTTTTCTAGCCGTTAGAATTTCTCAAGAAACGTCTCAAAACGTTCCCCCTAAGATTAAATGTAGTGAAAAATGAAGAAAATAAGGAATATTGTGTTTTTCTCTGCTCCTCTTCTGGCCTTAATCTTTTTTTTTATATTTTTAATTATGGTACTAGAATAGACAAAAATTTGAGGCCTCATTTCGGCCCCGGTCGTCTGCCGCCAAAATGTTGCGGCGAGGTCWGTTTCCCCGATCCCTYTCCGCGGCAGGCCAATCCGGATCTAACCCTCTGGACGGCCAGAATTGACAGTCCCTAGATGCGTCGGGTRTGGCCATCCATCTCGCCATCTTTGAGGGTTACTCTTAAMAAMCAGTGCGCCCAAAATCAGGGGCACCCTGAGTTCTCATAATTTCTGCTGCCCGGTCAGACCAAAGTACCGTAAAAACACGGACTCGCCCTTGAGCCTAAGTCCCAAAACCGTCATTTTCAGGCGGCGCACTACTTGTGGCCGCCTGACAACGCGATGGATTTCACAAGCAGTCTTGCAAGCCTCCGCACCGCTTATCTAAGCCAAATATGAGACGAAATGGCTAGCCACGGAAGGTGGAACGCCTGCCCCTCCCACCCGGCCTTCAGTCCCTCCCTCCAACACACAGCTTCGCCCTCGCAGGTAAGCTCGATCTTTCAAGGAGGGGGGAGTGTGGCATACTCATCTCCACACGGGCCCAATAGGGCCCGACCAGGTAGGCTAGGGGCCCGTAGAGGTAGGGTCTGTGTCGTTTCAACCCTCAGTAGGGTTCGCAGGGTCAGTACGGCGGTTTTAGGCCTGAGTAGGACGGATACCAGTCGGAGGCCCTGTAGGCCTTGTTTTGGTTACAGGCCCTAGCGCACGTTTCGGCGCCAAGGCCTTGATTTTGAGACCGCACCGTTTCAGTAGGCGTTGGAGGCCCAGCCTTAGTTTGGGCGCCAAACTTTCGAGGCCCGGCCTCAATAGGACTCAGCAGTTGAGGCCGACCCAGCGCCATATATAGCTGGGTTCGGCATCGGTCACGGATTCGGTAGAGGATCGAGGTGAGGCATACTTCAAACGACGGCAGTGCAGTAGTAGTCGACAATAGGACTAGTCTCCCAGTGTCGGGCGCTGATAGAGTACAGTAGCGCAGGGAGGGAGAGATGGTGATGGCGGCCAGAGGACTTACCTGAGACTTATCAGCGTGGCCATCGCTCCAACTTCGTCTTCAGCACGTCCGCACCTGCATGAAGGCACCACCTTTCGCAGGTCAGTACCTGGTATAGAGAGAGAGAGAGATCTTCTTATTCTTCCTTTTCCAATCCACCACGTTCTTTTTCCCCTCCCAACGCTCTGACTTCTTCCTATTCTACTATGGGAGAGAGAGAGAAAGTGAGAGAGAGAGAGAGATTGACAACACTTGGGATTCAAACTCGACATTGGACAGAGATGTTGGGGGGCCTACTTTGGATTGATATCAACGACATTTGGGTTGACGACATTGTCATATCTTCCCCCTTCTCCTTCGTCTCTTCCCCCTCTTCCTCATATGTGTACGAGTTAGGCCTGGCACCTTCGTCCTGGTGTGCGGCGCCAGGCCATTCACACCGTGTGATGATGATGATGTACATCCAATCTGCATTTCGACATTGACTGGGGCTGATCATTTGTATTCCAGTCTTCCGTTGTTCTAGTCTACCATCTTGGTATGCGACAGCTGACTTGGTATGTTCCTCCGCAGTCGGTTTCGTGTGCGTCTCCGTCGGAACAAAATTCCATTCCTCGAGTGAGGCGGCATGAACGGCTTCCTGCTGCATAAGGACGGATGCGGCATCTCCTCGAGCTAGATTATGGTTGGCAGCTGCTTCAGCGTGTTGCCAGCGTCGTTGCTCCGCATCACGTGCAATGGCGTAGAGGTGTGCGGCTTCGGCTGCCGCCTCGCATTGTTCTTCTTCTTATGCTTGCAGCATGGAGGTGGACAGGTGGGCTCGAGAGGTTGTTATTGTCTCACCCGGTTGTCGGACTGGCGCAGCATCGAGGGCTCCCACAGGTGCGGCAGTGGGAACCACCTGTTCGACCTGTGGGACCAGGAGGTTCACGTTGCATACCTCGCGGGGGGTGCCGGATGCGGCATTGTCCACCGTGGGGTTGCCTTGTGCCTCAATGGCAGAGGGGAGGGGCAGGGGTAGCTGCTGCTCTGATTCGGCTGCCCGCCCTTCGCGTTTTCAGATGCGTTTGCTGCGTCAGAGCATAAGTTGCGGTTAGTTGTACTGTGTCGACTGACACGGCACTAAGTGACGTGGCCCTGCTACTTACGTGGCACTTGCTGACGTGGTACTCGTTGACATGGCACTTGTTGACGTGGCACTTGCTGACATGGCAGTTGCTGACATGGCACTTGTTGACGTGGCACTTGCTGATGTGGCGCTGCCGTAGTACAAAGAAGGGTGGGAAGAAAACACACAGACAAGCAAATAACCGGACTGCAATTTCCAATCCCGGATACTAATCAACAGAAAAAAATGGAAAACAAAAAACTCCTTTTTTTTTTTTTTTTTTTGGAAATCTCTCGATTTGAGAATTGGTGAGGCATCTATCAGATAAGGAGCAGTAGAAAAAACCGAATTTCACTCGTTAACGAAATTAGAACAAGAACCGCAAAATTTCGGTTATAAATACGTGAGTCCAAAAAAGAATTTGACGGAATAGCATTCCAATTTCCAGAAAACGAAATTCGTAAATTAAATCTGACGACTAGAGAAGAATTCCGCGGTAATTCGATTTGTGCAAATCACGAAATAATCAGGACTTTCATAACATAAATTCGCGAAGTACTTAGATTTCCAAGGATACGTGCCAAGAAAAAGTCAAAAAAATATGAAATTTGCAATAATTCCTAGAAACCAATCCTAAGTTTAGACAAGGTAAAAACCGAAAATTGTTTTAATCGTGAATTGCAACTTTCGTATTTCCGCGGAATTCGTGGAGTGCCGAGATTTTCAAAATTTCCAAAATTCGCAAAATTCCAAAATTTACAAAATTCGCAGATTTCGCAGAAGACCGCAATTGTCAAAATTTCCGAAATTCGCGAAATTCACGGATCTCACGAAATGCCAAAATTTTCGGGATTCCAAAATGCATGGAATTCACGATCTCTCGGAATACCGAAATTTTCGGATGTCCGAAATTCTCGGATTTGGAAAATGTCGAAAGTGCGAACTTAGGAATGAGTAACTTCCAACAGAAAGAAGAAAACTAAGAGAAAAAGTCGAACTGTGGATTCTACTTGCTGGTGAGAGTTGACTTTGCTGCCCTAACCCTAACCTAAGTGGATTGAGGGCACCACTTAGGGTTAGGGTTGGTTTGTGAAGGGAAGAGGGGCAGTGTGGTTGAGGGGAGTTGCCCCCACCTAGTTAGGTCACGGAGGGTCGACGTTGAACCTAACCAGGTTGCTTGAGAGTGAGATTAGGGTGGCGAGACATTTCGAGGGGGCTTCATGCGGCAATTTGTGAGAGGCGACAGTGAGAGGCACTCGCACCTGGAATCTGATTCAAGGGAGACACTTGGCAACTTAAGGGTTGCCCTCAAGTAGGCGAGCTTGAGGGTCAGCGGCCACTCAGCATCTACGGACTGCAAGTTGCTACTTTGTTCTTCAGCATTGACGGGGGATCCAGCGTTGCACTTGGGTGTTGGAGTCACACCCTCCTAGGAGATAGGACACTAGTGTAGGGGTAGCGTTAAAGGCGTCAGGAGGATCACATGAAAGGGGGGTGAGTTTTATTCATCTCGAAGCTCAGGCCCACTCAGGTAAGTGTCGTGCACCTACGGGATGCCCATGTGTGTGTGCATGGTATGGTTTGTCTTGCGGGGGTACTTTGGGCTTCTTTTCCTACTCCTCTGTCGTCTTGATTGTGTGATTGAATGCATGTGATCTACCTACTCACCTAATGAATGGAAAATGAAGTATCTTGATCTAAATGTCGAGTCTTTCTACAGTGCTTTGGCTTTTCATCTCTGAACGGTTGTAGTCTGTAGGTTCTGCCGGAAGTTGAAATTTTGTTTTTCAGTACAGTAGAAACTGGACTAAGTCCATGAGGGACTCCTCTTGGTTGGGACCTGGCTGCGACCTACGTGGGACCTCTGGAACCCAGTGGGACCAGGCCCAAACAAGAAGAGCCCTTTGGGCCCAAATCAGTTAGGCATTAGCCCATTGTCTTCTGACTGTGTTACGGAGTTCTTTCTTCTTGGTAAGGACACCAACTGCCGAGGGGATCTCGGCTGAGACGTTTCACGTGTCTTTTGGTTGCAATGTCTGTGGCTTGACTCGCACCCTATACACCACTCAATTCTCCATTGTTGCATTTAGTCACTCGTTGTCTGGTTTGTTGTACGGTCTCGGAGCTAGTCAGACTGGACTCGAGAGGACCTCGTATGCAGTCTGATCAAACTGGGTCGCTGGATCAGACCTCTCGTGTGAATTTGATTGTTTTTGGTTTGCTGCTCTCTAAGTCTAAATGAAATGTCGCTCCGACTAGGAGTTCTACCTTCTCTTCTCTGAGCTTTTCAGATTGTTTCTCTGAGTTCATTCAGACTCGCAACCAGAGAGAAGAGGGAGAGAGGAGGGAGAGAGAAAAGGAAGAGAGGGAAAGTGACCGTCTGGAGTGGGTAAGGACTGGGAAAAGGAGTGTTCGTCCAAGTCTTCCTCTACCCCCTGGTTTCGGAGCTACGATTGAGACTAATATTGCCCCTCTTACCGTCTTCTACTTCTTCCTTAAGTGTGATGGCAAACCCATCGGGACCTGCAACAGGTGCAAACGCCGCTGTTGTCGTAACAAGCGACAAGGCAGGAAACTCTGCAACTGTTGCAGCCCCAAAATCTTAACCAGCAGGTGCTGGTCCCAGCCACACCGGTCCCTATGTGGATCAAAAGGCGGTGCAAATACCGTCTAAGTAAGACGGCAAAGAAGACATTGAATCCTGGATCAGCTCTATGAGGGCATACTTTGAGGTGCTGGGGACTCAACCAGAGACCCAACCAGTGATCATGGGAATGAATGTCGAGCCGGTTGTACGGGGCTTCCTAGAAGTCCCAAGGTACATGGGTTGGGGTTCCAAAGATCGAACTGACAAGGTGGCTTAGGGCCACCCCGGTTGCCTCCCTCGAGGAGCTCCTCATTGCCCAGTATAAGGATCCACGCGCTGCAACAAGGGCAAGAAGCCAGCTTGACAAAATCAAACGCAGCAAGTCGACGGGCTCCATGAAAAGCCTGCAAACCTATCTCAGCAAGATGTTTGCTACACCTGGTCTTGAATTAACCGACCAATCTTGCTTGGATGTGGTCAAGGGCGCAGTCCCCACCAGTTTTACTAATCGCCTACGCAGGGACTTCATTGGGTATACTGACTGGTTCACTCTAATGAAGGACATAGTCAGTCTCGAGGCGGTAGACCTTATCACCACAGCACGCAGCAAAAAGCCCCTGGGCAGCAGGCTGTTCAAAGGCAGCAGCCGTTTTGTTGTGCATGACTTGTTGGAGACTGAAGAGGAGGTCGAAGCAGATGACCCCACTCTTGGTGACGACTAAGAACAGGACGCTGATACAGCCTGTTCGTCAGCCCACGAGTCTGATGTAAATCAAGAAGAAGAAAAATTTATTGCCTTTAAAAAGACTGCCAATGCAAGGGGACCGAATCGGAATGAGGGGAAGAACTATGTCCAACTTCCCAAGGGAGTCAAGATCCTAGCAAAACCGGAGGATGCGGCCACTAAACCATGGGTCGATCTTCGGATCATTGAAAATGATTGGTAGGGTAGACTCAAGAAGGGGGGATGCCTGCATTGCCAAAAATCAAACCATGAAGTACAGGATTGCTATAGGCTGCAGGGAAACCAGACCCGGGCATAGAGTCGACTTCAGCACACTCCACAGCAAGGGAGACTGAATCTGATGCAGATCAGCAGACCTCCCTTGAAGCCCAATCATCTGCTGAAGCCAAGGCTGAAGTGTGTGATGTGTTGTATGTCGAGCCTTGGGAGGAATCTGGGACGGCCGATTTCCACTACCACTTGGAGCATTGGGCTGAGATTAAACAGCAGCGTGCCCAAGGGACAGCGAAGCTGATCTTCTTCAGACTTCTCATAAACCACCGCTATCTCCGTGTCTTGATTGACTGTGGCGCGACGGCTAACTTTATGTCACCTCACGGGATACGCCAAGTGGGTTTGGGAATGAAGCAAGTGGCCTTGCAGAACCCTTGCCGAACCCAAGTTGGCAACAAGGAAGTTGTCTCTTCTACGCATGCAGTCAAAGGTGTGCGCACTACCTTTAACAAGAACAAAACTGTCACCCACGCACTGAACTTCTATGTCCTTGACAAGTGCCCCTTCGACGCTGTCCTTGGCTTGTGTTGGTTGCAGTCCTAATGCGAATGGACCAAGTGGAAGGAGTCACTCTTCATGGTCAAAGATGCTCGATGGATCGAGCTTCCTGTCCTCTTGGATGAGAAGCATGAGTCCCCAGTGACTTTTCTGAATACTATGAAGTTCTGCAAGAAATGGCGCAAGCACAAGGAGGATGAACAATTGTATGTTGCCTTTGTTTGTCTTACTCATGTGCCATCTACTTTTGCAGTTAATATCACTACTACTTCACCTAGTGAGGATACTACTTCTAGTACTACTACTACTAACACCTCTACTTCTCTACCTCCTATTACTCCAAATGATCCCAGTTCAGATTCGGTTGCCTCTATTCGCGACCTGCAACCTGACTTAGGTGATCCCTTTGTTGATCCTCCACCCCCACCGGTTCCACCGAACATCCAAAACTTACCCAATCGGTTCCCAAAAGTTCTGGTCGAGCCACATGGAGTCCCCCGGCGATCGGTCTGACACACCATCGAGTTGGTCGAGGGTGTTGTTCCTCCAAAGGGCTGCGTGTACCGAATGGGACCCGGTGAGTTGGAGGAACTTCAACGACAGAATGACGAAAGGATTAACAAAGGGTGGATCAAGCCTAGTGAATCGGAATTTGGTGCTCCTGTCTTGTTTGTTCCAAAGAAAGGAGGCAAGCTCCACATGTGTATTGACTATCGCAGCCTAAACTGCATCACAAGAAAGAACGCCTATCCATTACCCCGAATAGATGACTTGCTTGATGTCGCAGGTGGGTGCAAGGTTTTCTCCAAGATCGATCTCAAGTCTGGCTACCACCAGAGTGAAGTCGATCATGCGGACCATCACAAAAATGCGTTCAAAACTGGCGATGGGCTTTACGAGTTTACTATAATGCCCGTCGGTCTTACGAACGCACCGGCCACCTTCCAAAGCCTCATGGACAAAGTCCTCCGCGAACAGATTGGTCGGTTCGTGGTGGTCTATCTCGATGACATACTAATCTTCAGCAAGTCCATGGAGGAACACCTCAAGCACCTTGAGGAAGTACTGACCATCCTCAAGAAGACGCAACTCCATCTCAACTTGGGCACCGATTGTCTGTTGCACTAGAGCCTGAGGCAACCAAGCTGGAGGTCATACGCAACTGGCCTCAGCCCGTGAATGTTCACGAACTGCGCTCTTTTCTTGGTCTCGCATCATACTATCAAAAGTTTGTGCCCCGCTCTTCCATTGTTGCGCGTCCATTGTCTCGACTGACGAGTAAGAATGTTTCCTATTCTTGGGACACCGCGTGCACGAACACCTTTCAAGCTTTGAAAGACGTCTTGGTAAGTTACCCAGTACTCCGCATTGCAGATCCCAAACTGACATTCGTAGTTACTACGGATGCAAGTCAATATGGAATCGGCACGGTGCCGCAGCAAGATGACGGCGATGGCTTGCGGCCGCTCGAATTCTACAGCAAACGAATGCCCAACGTAAAGGTAGTCACTTCCACCTACATGCGCGAGCTCTATACTTTGCGTATGGTTGTGGACCATTGGAAGCACTATCTTTTGGGACGCCACTTCAAAGTGTTCTCAGATCATGAGACCCCGAAGTGGATCAAGGAGCAGACTACCTTGTCCCCTACGTTAATTCGCTGGTTTCATGAAATTGACATCTTTGACTTTGAGTTGAGACACAAAAAGGGCTGTTATAATCGAGTCGTTGACGCATTGTCTGGCCACCCTGAGTACATGACTTGCCTTGTGAAATCCTACGACCTCTGGAAGAAACCGAAGGAGGAGCTCGTAGAGCAGACAACCAAGGATCCGGAACTTAGTACCATCCTTGAGCGGTTGCGGGCTGATCCTAGTAGTCAGCCTGATTTTCACGAATATGGAGGACTGATTTTTCGTCGCTACGGGAACCACGACCGCTTGTGTGTGCCCAACCATGAGCCTCTCCGCATGCATTTTCTGGATTTGGCTCATGGCCGGAGCGAACACTTCGGCATGGCAAGGACGTACGCAAATCTGTTGCGACAGTTTGGTTGGCCTAGCATGAAAGGGACTGCTGAAAAGTTTGTGGTTAAGACAAGTTTGTCAACAAATCAAACCATGCAGACAAAAGCCCATGGGGCTACTTACACCTCTTCCCATTCTCGATGGTCCCAGGGAGTCCGTCTCCATCGACTTCACCGACATGGGGAAGGTGAGTAGGAACGGCTACTTCCAAGTCATGGTGATTGTTGACCGATTCTCTAAGTTTCTCAATCTGATCTCTTTGCCGCCACACGCCCCAACAGAATTAGTGATTCATGAGTTCCAACAGAAGTACATTCTGCAGTTCAGGACCCCGAAGACTCTTGTCAACGATCGGGACCCGCGCTACATTAGTCCTGAATGCAAGGACTTCACATCTCATTTGGGGATCAGGCTGTGTATGACATCTGGCCGACACCCTGAAGCCAACGGTTTGGCTGAAGAAATTAACAAGAATGTGTTCCAACTTCTCCGCGCTTTGATTATCCCGGATAAGGAAACATGGGATGAAAAGTTGTATTCCATTAGGGGGTTGTACAACAACTCCATCCATTCTGCCACCGGCATGACACCTAACAAGCTGCATCTCGGTTGGCAAATCCGTAATCCGCTCTCCTACCTATTCCCTGAGCAGCCAGTTGGCTTAACACCCGACAGGCCTGGCTTCAGGGCCAAGTATCATCGCTTGCTCAAGGTTGCCATTGCAGCCATCACCACGCGACAAGACGCCATGATCCATCACGAGAACAAGAGGCGCCGACCGTCGGACATTTAGGTAGGAAGCTATGTCTGGGTCAAGATGTCTGAATTCTCAGAAGAAGAAGGGGTTTCTCGCAAACTTATCCCGCTCTATTACGGACCATGGGAAGTTTTGGATGTGATTGGCGAAGAGCACTTTGGCCCTTCGTACATGGTTGATGTGCCAGCCCATTTGCGCACATACCCCGTGTTCCATGCATCGATACTGTACCTCCACCTCGATGCTAAGACGTTCGACTATCGCGAAGACATGATCCCTCGTGCGATCAAAGGAGGGCATGAGATACACAGAATCAAACAGCACGTAGGGAAGGGACACAACAGACAGTACCAAGCTCACTTCATGTATCACCCATTAGACGCTTTATACTGGATTTCCAAACAGAAACTGCTACGCAGTGCACCGTGCGTTGTCGAAGCCTACGAGCAACAAATCGCCACTAATGGTGTACCTTAGATCTCTGCAAGCCCACCGGAACAGAGTACTCTAGGAACCTCTTTGCCTTGCTTGCATACGATGCGTTTGTCGAGGACTCAGAATGAGTTACTCGCTCGAAGGGACCTCGCTCTTGAGGGGGTAGTAGTGTGATGACCCGTCCAAACATGGACTGAAACACACAGCTGATTTATGAGTTTTGTCCATAGACTGAATGCCTTGCTGAGTTTCCCGCTGCTACTAAGTATGTGGGTGCACGCTTGCTGGGCTGCATGTCTATCTGAGTGCTGGTTGGCTTGAGTGTGTGCGTGGCCGTGCCTGTCTGAGTGCTGGTTGGCTTGAGTGTGTGTGTGGCCCACAAGGGCACTTGCTCGTTCATTGGGCCCTCAGGGCCGGTACTTACCTGTGGTCGTGACATTGAGGGATTGCAACAGAAAAAACACTCTAGTGGGTAGGCCGGTACCGCACCCTGAAGGGGTAGATGTACGGGTACTCGAGGCCGGGCAGAAGAAGACAAAAGTGTCATTTTTAGAGGCCCAGTAGTTGTAGGTTAGGTCTAGGTGGATGCCAGTCCAACCAGTCTGGGTCTAGGGCATGTACGGGCAATATCAAAGTCTGCAATGATGTTTCCTTTCGAAAGGGAGGAGGTACCGTTTGCTTGGAAGGCCGAGCGGCCTCGAAGTCACCGCTCGAAGAGGAAAGCAGGCCGCTATATCTCCCAGTCGGGCGAAGAGCCCGGCCTCTTTTTCGGTGTGCAAGTTTGGCGACACACTGGTGGAGCGTTGGCTTGAGCAGTGCTATGCTGGCGCAGCGCTGTTGGGGAGGAAGGAGGACACGAGGGAGGAAGAAGGAAGGAAGGGGGAGGAGCGCCAGGGATACTTACCTGGCTATGGTGGCAGCCCTCTTCATCACCTTGGTGGGCGCTGCAACAGGGAGTCCCCAGCTGGGGAGAGCTACACCAAGAAGCTTTGAGGCAGGGTGAGGCATGGCGACCTGAGCTAGAGCAGCCATAGCTGCTTTGGGTTGTCCTTTGAGCATCTGGGCAAGGCATAGTAGTCCACCATAGCCTCGGCCTATGAGAGTGAAGAGTGGGAGAGGCGGCCATGGCTATGGTGGACCTCAAGTGATACCTGCAATAGAAGAGGAACTCGGACATTGATTATGGACCAGCCACTCAACATTGTATTATTATTTCTTGTATGAATAAGAGAAGGGGGAGATGAGGAGGAGGAGGTTGTTGGGCGAAGAAGAAGAGCCTTTTCATTTGTCCATGTTGGTGTACATCATCTTCTTCTTCTTTCTTACTTCTTCTTCTTCTTCTAATCCTCTCTCTCCTCTCAAGTTCATTCATTTCTTTCTGCAATTGTCCGGCATTGAACTTTCTGATGGATGTGTATCTCGAAATTGGCCAGGATCATAACATTAGCGTAAATTTGGGGTTAGCGCTAATTACCGCTAATCAAGGTGACAACTCTAGTAGAACAAAAAGAAAAACAAATTGCAGAAATTTTGACGAATCCATACTTAATCGACCAATTCAAGCAATCAATCAATCAAGTTAGTTTCTTGATTGGGCAGATCCTCTTTCGAGAGGTCTGCCCCGATACCAAACCGTCGCATACCAAGATGGTCAGACCAGAACCAAGAACCGACCTCTCACAGATAGAGCAAGATAGCATAGAGGAAGACTGCAATACCAATGACCAGACCCAATCAATGTCGAAATGCAGACTGGACATACATCATCATCATCACACGGTGTGAATGGCCTGGCGCCGCACACAAGGACGAAGGTGCCAAGCCTAGCTCATACAAAGATGAGGAGGAGGGAGAAGAGACGAAGAAGAGGGGGGAAGGAGATGAGAATGTCGTCAACCCAAATGTCGCTGATATCAATCCCAAATAGTCCCCCCAACGTCTTTGTCGAATGTCAAGTCTGAATCCCAAAGGTCGTCAATCTCTCTCTCTCTCTCTCTCTCTCTCTCTCTCTCTCTCTCTCTCTCTCTCTCTCTCACACACACACACACACACACACACACACACAGACACACACACACACACACATAGCCCGATAAGAAGATGTGAGAATGTTGGAGGGGAAGAGGAAGGTGGTGGTGGACCGAAGGAGGAAGTAATATAATACACATGTCATCTATAAAAAGATTCGTTAAAATAGGAAATATGAATTACAATTTACAATAATTTAAGATCTCTCTCTCTCTCTCTCTCTCTCTCTCTCTCTCTCTCTCTCTCTCTCTCTCTCTCTCTCTCTCTCTCAGGCACCGACCTGCAAGAGGTGGCGCCTTGATGCACGTACGAACGTGCTGAAGACGAAGCTGGAGCAATGGCGTCGCAGGTAAGTCTCAGGTAAGTCCTCCTGGCCTCCGCCACCATCTCTCCCTCCCTGTGCTACTCTACTCTATCAGCGCCCAACGCTAAAAAACTAGTCCCATCGTCGACTACTACTGTACTCTCGTCGCCCAAAGTATGCCTCCAATCAATACTCTACTGAATGTCGGACTGAGGCTGGAACTTGCTTTATGTAGTGGTGGGTCAGCCTCAGCGGCTAAGTCTGGCGCCCACATTGAGGTTGGGCCTCGAAAGTTTGGCGCCCAAACTGAGGTTGTGCCTCAATCGATCGAACGCATTTTTAAATCGCGCGACCTCTAATTCAGGGTCTGACGCCAAAATGGGCGCCAGGGCCTGTATCCGAAACGAGGCCTACAGGGCTTCTAAGTGGTACCGGTCCTACTCAGGCCTAAACTGGCCTACCGACCCTACGGGCCCCTACTGTGGGCCCAAACGACACAAACCCTACACTCTACTGACCCCTAGCCTACCTAGTCGGGCCCTGCGGGGCCCGTGTGGAACTGAGTATGCCACACCAGCAGTGCACCTCACACTTCAGCGCCCGTGTGAGCGACCCAACCGACAGCTTTGTGCAGATCACGAAGTTGCAATGCAGAAGTGTGGCCGCATTGCCTGCCTAGGCCAGAATCCCTATGGCTGCCACACTCACTTTCCGATATGGAAAGTGAGCTCTGCTTGTCGAGCTATGGACCTGGTTGAACGAGTTTCCAATAGCTTCCAATTGGGCCTCGATGTCTGCGCCCAGGCCCAGTAGCAGTTGCAGGCCTGGGCCCTTTACAGTTGGGCATGTGTAGGCAGTCCACAGGCCTCCACATATTTGCTGCGATCCCATTGGCTCGTGGGTGAGATGCGACAATGCTGCATTCTCATTGGCCCGCTGCCTTCTGTTATGTGTCGGCCACCTGAATGAATCTTACAGTAGAAAATGGACGTATGCATCACCACATTTTTTGTCTATTGTGCATGTGGAGAGCAGTGGAGTGAGTCCCTGACTCTACATACAATTCGAACAGTCCGCACACCGCCCCGCTACTGGCTGTGCGTTCCATCTGAACAGTGATTCAGTCTTGGAGGGCCATGGCCATCACCCGCTAGTGGAGCGAGGGCGCTTGAAAATGAGCGCAGCTCTGCAGGCAGGCACGTGCCCAGTGTGTGTGCATGTCTGTGTGTGTGTGTGTTGTTTTAAAAGACCCCAGATTCTCTTTCTCATTCCCTTCACAAATAATCACAAGCCAACCATAATTGAAAAGTATAGATAGGCAATATAATAGAAAATGCAAGGTTGGCCACGTTTGTGTGGTTCAGCGCCAAGTGCGCACACACCTGTCTGCCACCAAAGCGGCAAACTTGCACATATACATATGTATAAAGATATATTTCAAACCATAAGGGGGCAGAGGGCAGAAGGCAACTTACCTAAGACAGAAGACTACACCAGCAAGAAGGCACCGACCCGACCCCCTCGTGTGTGTGTGGGCATGTGTGTGTGTGTGTGTGTGTGCGTGTGAGAGAGAGAGAGAGCCACGTACTATTCTAATAGAACACTCGTCTGTTCGAATAGAACATATGTGTGCACTCTTTGAAAACAACGTACGTGCGTACTATTTGAACGTGCGTACTATTCGGATTTTGGGGGGCGACTTCAAGAAATTGACTTTTCCAGGGAAAGTTGAATAGTACATACGTGCATTTTGTTCGGGGGAAGACTGTAGTATACAGCCGCCAAAGGTGGGTCCTACCGGGTGATTCCCCAAGACATTATGGTACAGCATAGTCCCGTGTCTAATTGCTACTAATTTCGCCTATTTCAAACATATCCCCCCCCCAACCAAGTTCAACAGAATGGAAACGCGAAATTACGGAAATTACAAAAAAACGGGGATGTATTTGTAACTTGCATCTGACCACCCTTAGCCTAGTTCGCAGCCCTAAGGCTGCGGTGTAGTGGGCTTCGTCAGTTGTGTCAAGGTGTCGTATTTTTGGCGGCGGTCGACCACGATGGAAGTGGGTTCTTAGGGGGATAAAAAATTGGGGGGACTAGTCCTTCAAGATATTGCGGACTACCTACAGCTAGCTCTTGTAGAACCGGGACTTTTCAAAAAAGGAAGGACCGGTCCTCAGGTGGAAGCGAACCCCAAAAAGCAGTGAGGGCATGTGAACTGCAAATGGGCCCTCAGGCCCAGGCGTTGAGGCCCGTCGTCTCAAAACAGGGAGGTCAGGCGCAACGAAACAAGCATTTTGCAAGAGGCAACTTTGGTGATTTTCTTTGCTCGGAGGAATCCGCACAAAAATTTGAAAATTTTGAGAATCCATAGATGAGGTTGCAATCAGACTCGCTTTCTTTTTCCACTTCACACTCATGCAAACAGATGACATGTCACACTGGCGCTCAGCGCCCACTCAAAGCTCAGAGATATAGTAACCAAGAACACAGTTCAGATACAAGCTCGCTTCAGATGGCTATGGCGCATCAGCGCCTGGACAACTCTCTATTCGTCACTGGGCTCAGCTCTGCTGTTCACACACACTCAACTAAGGGTCGCCCTGGATATCCCACACGCGACACATTGTCTCACACACACGCACACACTACACTCGTCTACCACCTACGACGGCTATGGCCGCTCAACCCTGCTGGCTATGGCTACACCACCTCTACTCTGCCCACTTCGTCTTCGGGCGCTCTGCAGACCACCTCGCACAAGTCACTCAAGCAGCGCTTCCGCATGGCTTACGCAGGAATGAATGAATGGCTGGGCGCTGCCTCTTGATTTATACCTTTGTAGCTCGTTGGTTTGCCCCCTTCCCATGCCCCTAGTGCACACAACCCCACACGGTACTTGCTTGATTCGACTGTGAATGACTGGAACCGGTACCGCTGACTGCATGGGCTTGCACTGCCAACTCAATGCAGTCGCATGGCCGACGTACCGCAGTTGGGCTCACCAGTTGCCCACTTGTCTCTGTCTAAACGTGAGCAATACTTTGAAAGGCCACCACTAGGACCTTCCGAAAAGCTGCAACTTGGCCTTTCGAACACTGTAGCAGCTACGACCTTGACCTTTCAGGACTGTAGCAGCTACGACCTTGACCTCTCAGGACACCTATAGCTACGACCTCTAGGCCTCACTAGGAACTCTATCCAACAGGTCTACAGATTGAACCCCTACCACCTACGGACCTACGACAGCCTACCAACTGTTGTGAATACATAGGTCACGGGTTCAACTCTCGGAGTCGATACAGATATTGTACACAGGCAAGGTAAGAACTAGGTATCAAACCCTGGGATCTGCATTCGCTACTGCTAACAGGTAAATACCGTTTCACTCCCGCCGGCCTRAATTCGAGGTCCTCCGAGAATAATTCAGTCCAAGACCGGATTTTTACCTTTCTTCTCGCTCTCGTAGGCTCTAACTACGTCGGGGGCTGTTTCTCGAAGTTCGGTCCTAGTAAACCAGCGGTCATCCTCGAGTTCTTGATAAGCAAATCGGACCTTATACTGCTTTTGTGGACGACCTCTACGTCCTGTTCTGAATACGTCTTTGCCTACAATGACCTCAATGTCATACCTTCCATCCATGTCCGGAAGGATCATGGATCTTCTTGTGAAAACTGTTGGCTTGTGACACACGGCAGCTACTTTGCCGCATGAAACACAGGGTAGGTGTGGAGGTGTGCTGGGATTTCTATCGTGTAGGACGGCCCATCCTCTCCGCCCTTAACTTCTAGAACTAGCCACGGTCCTCTGTATGCGGGCAGTAGCTTCTGCGAAATGTTCTCCTCAGGAGCAAATTCTTTGGACTTGACCCAGAGAAGGTCACCTACTTGGAACTGTGACGGGCGACGGTGCTTATTAGCCTGTTCTATCATTCTGTGATTGGCTTTCCTAAGGTTCTCAACGACGGTAGCTAACTCCTTCTCATGCTGCATCGCAAACTCCCTAGTACGGGGGGGTAGCCTATGAATCTGATCCCGGGTAAGTCCTTCAAACGGTTTGCGTGGTCTAAAGGACTTGTGCAACTCGTTGGGAGTACGACAGGTGGCTAAATGCACGCTATTGTTATACGCACTGGCTACCTTGGGCAACATCTCATCCCAGTTCATCTCATCCGGTTTAATATACATGCGCAGAACTTGTTGCAGGATTTTATTCATTTGCTCAGTCTGACCGTTGGTCTCTGGGTGACGGCCAGATGATATTTGCAACTTTGACCCGTAGACTTTCATCAATTCCTGCCAGTTCTGACTAGTGAATCGGGTGTCTCTATCGCTAACTATAGACAGCGGAATTCCGTGATCACTCACCCAACGGTCAAAAAACTTTTGGATTACTGAGTCAGTACGTGCCTCTACAGGCGAAGGAACAAAAACTGCGTATTTACTAAACCTATCGACTATAACCATGACTTGGCTCTTTCCATGTATGCTCTTAACACTAGCATCCATGAAGTCAATGGAGACTGAAACTCCAGGCTGGTCGGGAATAGGCAAGGGTCGAAGGAGACCTAGAGGGGCACGTGTAGTATTATTCCTCTGACAAACTTTGCAATTGCGAATATACTCTATGCCGTCAGCTTTCATTCCTGGCCAAGCGTACGCATGCATCAGATTGGCTAGAGTCTTTTGCCAACCGAAATGCCCCTCTGTGTCGTGGCATTCCCCAGGGATCAAACTACGAATCTCTTCATTGTTAAGAACGCAAAGACGTTCTGCTACATTCGTCTTCTCGAACCGTAACCCCTCTGTAGTGCGGTAATGTGGTTCAGTTTCTGGAGCCTCCTTAACTTTCTTGAGGAGGTCACCATAAATAGGGTTTTGCGCATACGCCTATCTTACTTTCTCTTGCAGGTCTCTCCCTATATCCAGATAGTGAACTATAGCTCCAAAGTAGTCTGATCTCCTACTTAGAGCATCCGCAACTACATTATACTTGCCCTTGACTGGTTTGAGCTCAAAGTGATACTGGTCTATTTCAGCAGCCCCCCTTGTTTGCTTAGGTGTCATCTTGGCCTACGTTTTCAGCCACCTAAAAGTCTCGTGGTCTGAATATACTTTGAAGTGCCTCCCAATCAGGTAATGCTTCCAGTGCTCTAAGGCCTGCCTGAGAGCGTAGAGTTCTCTCTCATAAGTCGAGGTAGCTACCTTCTCTGAAGGCATCCTCGCTGACATGAACTCTACAGGGCTTATAGCCATTGCTGTCATCCTGTTGCAACACGGCGCCTATACCATACTGACTCGCATCCGTGGTGACGACAAATGGCAAGGACGAATCTGCTACCTTGAGGACAGGGTACTCGGATGCTCTTGGAGGGTCCTACCGAAAACTAAGATATCGTCTAAATAAACTACGACGAATCTATCTAACCAAGGCCTAAACAAATCATTCATACAACGCTGAAATGTGGTTGGCGGATTGGTCAGTCCAAAGGGCAGCACTATGAACTCATAATGCCCATATCTAGTCTGGAAGGCAGTATTGTACTGGTCATCAGGATGAACATCTATCTGATGATATCCGGACTTCAAATCTATCTTCGAAAAATATTTGCAACCCTGCACCCGATCTAAGAGATCGTCTATCGTCGGCAACGGCTCAACGTTCTTCATTGTGATCGCATTCAGACCTATACACATATGTAACTCTCCCACCTTTTTGGGGACAAATAACACTGGTGCTCCAAAAGGAGATGAACTGGGCCTAATCCAACCGCGTTTGAGGATCTCGTCCAACTGCTTACGCAGCTCCTCTAACTCCCTTGGGGACATCCTGTACATTGCTCCCTTAGGAGTCCTACTGTCAGGCTCTATCTCTATACAATGCTGGATCGGCCACGACACTACTCCTGTCGGCGGCTCTGCTAAGTCTTTAAACTCTTCCAGCAGTTTGGCAATCGTTGGATCCATTGGCTTATCCTCTTTAGGCTCAGTGACAGGCCTCACGTAGGCTACGAAGACCTGCTCCTCTAATTGCTCCTTTCTCACTAATCACGCGAACGCGAGAGCACTGAGACGGCAATGTGCCAAGGAGTTGTCTACCCCTGACACATGGAACAGGCAGGCAGTCTTAACCTCGCCTGACGGACTAGGGAGCCTACACTCACGCTCTCTTAAGTGGAGTGCGGCCCCTGCTGCCTCTCCCCAGTTCATACCTGGGACTATATCGAAAGGGAGGTCATCTTCTAAGAGGAGAGTCAGGGAATGGAGAACTTTCTTCACCTTCCCATCCTTTTCTAGGCGAAGATATGCCTGGACTCCCTCGACGTAATCCTCAACACGCATCGTGCGATTGTCTGCGAGGATACTGATTATGGGGTCTTCCAATTTTTGGACTTTCAGGCCTAGCCTTAGCTTCTTCAACACTTTGCGGTTGATATAGCTACAGGTAGCCCCTGAGTCTATGAGGGTCCCTACTCTACTTCTAAAAACTTCTAAGTCTACCAAGACAAGTTGTCATTTTTTGCTCTCCTTCTTCATTTTGGCCCAGGCCGCCGTTCTCTCTTTCAACTCTTCTGCCAAACCTGTGAGGGAAGTGCCTAGAGAGACTCTAATACAGGCAGTCCCTCGACAACTAACTAGGCACTGGCCTGCAACCTCTACCATAGGCTCATGTGGTGTGGGAGTTTCCTGGTGGTGCTCACACACTTCCCCACATGGCCTAGTGGTAAGGGCAGTTGCGACCCCTACCAGCGGTTGCCTTTTGACCCTTGGGCAGTGAAATGAGCTTCCCTATACTTTGGACAATATTTAATGATATGGGCAGGGTCACCACAGTAAATGCACTGCCCCTACTCCATTCGTTGTTGCCAGACACGCTGGTCTAAGCCCAAATCTTCCCAAGGCCGGCCTTGTGGCCAACCTGGGTGCCAACCTCCTCTCCTCTGAGGTGATCCTCCACCTCTCCACTGTGGGGATCGGCTGGGACCTGAACGATTTGGCGGGGGACCTTGATCCCTACCTCCCTCTTGGCGGTTCCTCCGGCCGCCAACCCCCTGTGCGCCCGGACCTCGACCTCCCATGGCTCGGACCCCTTGGCCCTGGCCTCTACCTTGCGGCCTCCCTCCAGCCACGACAACAGCGTATGTCCTCCCCTGACCTACACTACTGTCATCCTCCTCTAGCCCCCACTCGAACTGACTGTACGGGACTTTGTTTGTACCACCCTCATCTAACGTAAGGATCAGATGATCCTTGGCCCTAACCTGATCTGAGATGGTACGTCCTTTCCACTTTTACCCTTTATCCAGATCCTTGTGCCAGAAAGTGGAAACTGGCATGCATTTTGCCTCAAACAGGACCACTTCTCTACTTAACGCATCATACGTAATATTGGCCTGTTGGGTCTTGTCAAAGAAATGCCCTAGCAGGGGCTCTGGCATGGCACGATAAAATAAGTTTAACTAACTGGGTCTCAGTGAACCCGTGGTCTGGGATGGCTACCAAGTCATCCATCACTGCCTTGAGTGCTCTTGCACTCTTCCACTGCCTGGAGTGGATCGTCTGTAGCTTATCAGAGGCCCTGACGCCTCTCGTGACGTCAGCGAACCTCTCTCTCAAGAGACGGAGTGAAGAGGAGTGAGTTTCGAATATGCAACCATATTGTGTTCACAATCGGTTGAGCGCACAAGAGACCTGGCAACGCTGGCCACTTCGTCCTTTAGCGCATGGAAGGCCACGAGGACTTGTTCTTCTGGCGCGCTGTGCTGCAAATACACGTAGGTGTTGATACTGGCCTCCCAGTTATCAAAGTTGTCGTCCTTTTTCCCGCCATAAGAGTCAGGAAACTTGAGCTTAACAGGCCTGTCTCAGCGCAACAACCTCTACCATCAAGTCGCGGTACTCGCTGGTCATATCAGTCAAATCCTCCTGAAGTGTCTTCAATTTTGCGAAGACGTCGGTGATCTGAGTGGTATGATCTTCAAGCCTCCGTACTTGGACGATAGCGGAGAGTATGGACTGCAACTGTTTCCCACACTGCTCTTTGGTCAGCGAGGGAACAATTTCGAAGATGGCCTCCTAACTTTTCAGCACCTGTTCCTTCCTCTCCTTCCCCGCTTCCTGTTCCCTTTCTATAGCACTATCCAGGAGTGCTTGCAGATACGGTTTCTTCGTATCGTTGGCTGCATTTAGCAGGGCCCGCCATTGTCTTGAGGATCACTGGGCCATTTTCGGACCGTTAGTGTTGGCAAGTGGGTCAAAGAGACACCAATCAGGAAAAAAATCAATTAGACTCTCAAGAGGTACACTCCCCCTTTACCTCGCTTCCCACTTGGAGAGCGTCGATAGCCTAAAGTGGAAGGGAATTGGAGAGCATTCCGAGCGGGCCTGTGGGGGCCGCAGCCCAGAGTGGTGCGTTTCGCTCCGCCCTGTTGTTGCCCTTCAGCACCCGTTTGTGGGTGGTGGTCTTCGTTTCCCTGAAAACGGCACGTAAGGTCGTCCCTCCGGTTTGTGTGGTCGCCGCCTTCCGTTCGCTCCCATCAGCTTGAGGTGGGCTTGCGGTTGGGGGTGTCGGCCTCGAGCTGTGGAGGTACGTCGGGCCTTGCCTTTTGATCTCAGGTCGGGCGGGAGCACCCGCCCAATTTAAGCATATAACTAAGCGGAGGAAGAGAAGCCAACGAGGATTCCCTTGGTAGCGGCGAGCGAACCGGGAATAGCCCAGACTGAAAATCCGGGGGCTGTGCTGCTCCCTGAATTGTAGTCTTGAGAGGCAACCTCTGCAGCGGGCCGTGTGCAGGTTCCCTGGAAGGGGACGCCGAAGAGGGTGACAGCCCCGTTGACCGCCGGACCCTGCTGCACAACGAGGGTCGGCTCTCACTCTCTGAAACGGCAACTACTTTGGCGCCTTCAATGGCGCCTGCACATAATTTCTCAGTGCCTTCCTTTAGCCTCTTGACTTCAGTCCCAACGTGAGTCATCACGTCGCGCGCAAACTCTCGAAACCCAGTCCGGATGGAATGGAGGGCCACATCTTGACCTCTAACGGACTGGTGATGTTCAGTCCAGGCACGGCCTAGGAGTTCAATGCTCCCAAGGATCTTATCCAGCTTAGCCTGAATGTCAGGCTGGGACTCTACCTCTTGCCTACATGACTGTAGACTCTCCACCTCTCTGGCCATCCGGTTAGCCTCCTCCATCCTCCTCTTCTTCTCTCTCGCCGGACGTAACTTCCGTTCCAATTTCTTCTCATTTTCTATGGTCTGGCATTCCAGGGGAATCACTCGCTGCTTCGATCTCCCTTGCTGCTGCTTCCTTTTCTTCCTGAGGCACATACAGCATCGCCTCCTCATCTTCTCCCAAAGATAAATTAGCCACCCATTCACTTATCTTCTTCTCCATCCACGGGTCATCCTCCTTCGTGTTACTGCCTTCTCCTCTTTCTCCCATACGCCTCCTTTCGAGGGTCTGTTCTTCTTCTTCTAGTTGTTCCTCCTCCTCTATCTCTTCCTCTTCTATTGCAGCTCTCATCTTCTCTTCCTCCTCCTGTTGTACTCTCCTCATCTCCTCCTCCAGTTTTTTCTTCTTCGCTGCCTGCTCCTCTGCTATTATCTTTAACTTCGCCTGCTTAAGGAGCTCCTTCTCCCTCTTCTATTTTCTCTCTTTCAAGATGGCGGCGGCTCGCTCCTCTTGAGCCTAGGTGTAAGGGGTAGTGCTCTTCCCTCCACAGGTGTCAACCATGGTGTCATGTGCACAACTAGACAGTAGTTCCACTCCTCACCACTTAGACTTCTACCCCCTTCTCTTTTCTCTCTTTCAAGATGGCGGCGACTCACTCCTCTTGAGCCTGGGTGCAAGGGGTAGTGCTCTTCCGTCCACGGGTGTCAACCATGCACAACTAGACAGTAGTTCTACTCCTCACCACTTAAGACTTCTACCCCCTGACTGACACAACCTAACCGACTCAATCTATGGACCACAGAATCCGGATAGGATCCTGTCAACTAGGGTCACTAGCCTAGACCTAAGCTATGGACGTCACTACAGGACTTACTGCTGATCACGAGGCATTTAACGAGATCCCCCCGTAACTCCTCAGGAATTATTTAACGTCGCCGACAGGACGACGCGATCAGCGAGTCCCCTCAAAACTTAGGCGGCCTATTGTGCAGCCCACAGCTCGGATTTTGGGCCTACCGTGCCACACCAAGCAGCCCGCCCGTCAGTACCGGTCCTTGGGAGGGTTCGTGTCCTCCGGGACAGTCAAGTCATCAGACACAATCTTTAGCCCTACTCAGCCCGTGTGGGTTTGGTCAACAAGGCCCTATCCTTCATACACAAGAGTTCCTACATCTGGACAGAAGAGACTCGATGCAGAAAGAAGAGACAGACAGACTCAGCAAGTACCACAGGGTGTGTGCACATCCATAGGGCGAGGGGATAGGATGAAGGCTTGGCACGAATATACCAACTCCAGCTTGGTCAAACTGACGGTTAGCAGGCCCAGTCAACTCTTGGTCAATGCTCGGTCAACGCTGGTCTACACCTTGGTCAACTATGCGGTCAACACTCCTGGTCGACTCCCGATCAACTCCCGGTCAACTCCCGGTCAACTCCCGGTCAACTCCCGGTCAACTCCGGTCAACTCCCGATCATCTCCGATCAACTCTTGGTCATCTCCGATCAACTCCCGATCAACACTCACCCGGCTATGGCTGTCGTCTTCTTCCTCACCAACCTCTGCTTTCTCTTCTCTCTCCTTCCTTTCTCCTTCCTCGCATCTTTCTTCTTCCACCCCGATTATCCTCTTTCTTTTTTGTTTTTTTGTTTTTTTTCGTCTCTCCCTTCACCTTCCCCGGCTATGGTTTCCTTACTCTCCTTGGTCTCTCCATCCTTCTCTACCACTGTTCTTCCTTCGTCCCTCTGTATCCGAGCTCAGCGGCTATGGCCGCTACCTTCTCCCTGGTTGGACTGCACAACCAATCTGTATCGCTCTCTCTCTCTCTCTCTCTCTCTCTCTCTCTCTCTCTCTCTCTCTCTCTCTCTCTCTCTCTCTCTCTTGGTTGTCTTCTTTGCAGGTGCGTGCGGCGTCGTTCCTCCTCCGCAGGTGAGCTATGGCGGACTTCTCCTTCAATAGCGATGGAGCGTGGAATAGCGGGTACCAGCTCCGATACCAATGCAATCAGACTCGCTTTCTTTTCCACTTCACATTCATGCAAACAGATGACATGTCACACTGGCGCTCAGCGCCCACTCAAAGCTCAGAGATATGGTAACTAAGAACACAGTTCAGATACAAGCTCGCTTCAGATGGCTATGGCGCATCAGCGCCTGTACAACTCTCTGTTCGAAACTGGGCTCAACTCTGCTGTTCACACACACTCAACTAAGGATCACCCTGGATATCCCACACGCAACACACTGTCTCACACACACTACACTCGTCTACCACCTACGGCAGCTATGGCCGCTCAACCCTGCTGGCTATGGCTACACCACCTCTACTCTGCCCACTTCGTCTTCGGGCGCTCTGCAGACCACCTCGCACAAGTCGCTCAAGCAGCGCTTCCACATGGCTTACGCAGGAATGAATGAATGGTTGGGCGCTGCCTCTTGATTTATACCTCCGTAGTTCGTTGGTCTGCACCTTTCCCATGCCCCTGGTGCACAGTCCCACACGGTACTTGCTTGACTGGACTGTGACTGACTGGGACCGGTACCCCTGACTGCATGGGTTTGCACAGCCAACTCAATGCAGTCGCACTGCCGACGTACCGCAGTTGGGCTCACCACTTGCCCACTTGCCTCTGTCTAAACGTGAGCAATACTTCGAAAGGCCACCACTAGGACCTTCCGGAAGGCTGCAGACTTGGCCTTTCGAACACTGTAGCAGCTACGAACCTCTATCCAACAGGTCTACAGATCGACTGTAGCAGCTACGACCTTGACCTCTCAGGACACCTATAGCTACGACCTCTAGGCCTCACTAGGACCTCCATCCAACAGGTCTACAGATCGAACCCCTACCACCTACGGACCTTCGACACCCTACCAACTGTTGTGAATACACAGGTCACGGGTTCAACTCTTGGGGTCCACACAGATACTGTACACAGACAAGGTAAGAACTAGGGATCGAACCCTGGGATATGCATTCGCCACTACTAACAGGTGAATACCGTTTGAAGATCATGTTCCTTCCAGGAAAAGTATCAGAACATTTTTGAAAAATCATTGAGACCGCTATCTCGGCACGTTTTCCATTTTTGCCACTCAGCCATGTCCATTTTTGCCACTCACCATGTGTGGGCCAACTGAAAAAGTACTCCAAATTCAGTGAGTTTTCGCGCTCAGAAGAATGCGTGAAAAAACCTGAAAATTGGAGTACTCTTTGTCTGTTAGATTTTGTTGTGATCTTTCCAGGAAAAATGCTAAATGATTTTTTTTAAATCCTTCCAACTGTGAAATAGATCACGGCCACAATTTGACCCATATTTCAATTCCACAATTTGACCCATATTTCAATTTTGCCATTCAGCCTCTCTCTCTCTCTCTCTCTCTCTCTCTCTCTCTCTCTCTCTCTCTCTCTCTCTCTCTGTGACTGATAGCCCCCCCCCTCTCCCTCTCTCTCTCTCTCTCTCTCTTTCTTTCTCTCTCAGTCTCTGTCTCTCTCTCACTCATATCAACAAATGGAACAAAACTAACTCTCTTTCTCTCTCTCGCTCTCTCTCTCTCTCTCTCTCTCTCTCTCGCTTGCTC